ACGACACAAAAATTATCCCATTAGAAAGTAGATACTTTGTGCGTAATTTTTGTGTCGATAGGATAGATTTTAGAAAGGTTTTGAGCGAGTTTTCCAGAAAGTCCAACAAAAAAATTTGGCTTTTTTGCACTTGTATTGCATAAGCGCATGCATGTGCCGCACATGTCAGTGCACATGTCCATTAGATCTGTCATGGCCGATAACTTCCAGCAAAATATCAACAAATTATTTAACGCTCAAACAGGTTTTAAGTAAAACACATTTAACAGAATCAAACTTAATTTGCGTTTTCCTTAAGATTATTCTTTAGCTTCGGGGCTTTCGCCATGCACAGGAATTCTCGGTAACGATACATTGGAGAAAGAAAATTTTGTTTTTGATTTGTAGATAACACCTATAGCTAGGAGTTAACAGAGTGTGATTTTTAAATTATGCTTCCATTTTTTTTAGAAATGAGGATTTCTAAGAAATTTTTTTCTGATTCGTTTTGAGAAAAAAGCCACATTTTCCTAGTGAGCGCGATGCGCTCTATTTAGTTATAAATAAATATTGTGAAAAAGGTTCTATGAGAGTTCTGAATTACAGCTACCTTACAGACATTCTATTTGGCCTAGTTGCTTCTAGTATGGACCCAAACAAACAGCAATAATCGCTTATAACTACCTTTTAGTAGTGGCTTCGATCAGGTACTACGTAGAGTAATTGTCCTGATGTCCACTCATGATGTTTATAAATAGAGAAAACAAAAACAGGTTTTAAAGCTAATGCAGTTATTATTATTGGTATTCATTCATTATTTTGCACATTGAAAAAGCTGACTATCAAACACAATCAGAACATTTTTCGTCGAAACCGGAGCTATTATGTGAAATAAATGAGAAATGCCATAGTATTTTTAAATTTGTTTTTTGTGTCGCTATTTTATCTGTTGAATGACTTGTATATTTCGAGCAAGAAGTTCTATTCTACATCTATATTGTTAGACGATTTTAGTTTAAATAATCTGGGTCTAAAATGACGTTCACGAATAAACATTATACAATATAAGTATTTAAATCATCTGGATGAATAATCACAATAAGATTTATTTGTATGTGATGAGGTAATCGGCATACGACTGCGCATCATGATAAACGACAAATATTGATTTATCACTATTTGTTGTTGTATCATATCCCATTGGTAGTAACTTCATACTTTGATTTCCAGTAGTTGACTTACCAACAAGAATACGTGCCAAAAACAAATGTCTTTCATTTTGATCATTTGGTCTAGCATACCGATGTGAATAACGAGCGCTATCAGCAAAATAAACGCCCCATCCGTACACAACATCTAGAATAAAAGAACTAAAGAGTAAACGTAGCATTAGGAGAACGTATACCATTAACACCAGCATGTGATCTGTCAAAGCCATCTTGAATTATCTGTAAAGCAGATGTTTCCAAACAACCATGAAATAACAGTTTTTCTAAGTTTGTATGATGCTTTCTATATCGTTGATAGAAATCCTCTCGATGAGCTGCGTATTTTTTGTACCTAAAAACATTATAATTTTAAACTATCAATTGTTCACTCCATGTTCTTTTTACATACCAACGCTCATTTTGAATTCGTTCAATTTTAATAATCTGGGAATAATGATTTATCATGGTATGATCAAAATGGTTCAAAACTTGCAAATATTCAGCTACTAATGGGTTTAGTTGAATAAGACTTGTAGTAGATACTTCCCAATTCTAAAATAAACTGATATTAGTATACACTTGACGGAGATTTATCAGTCTTACATCTGGTAGAGTTTCATTAACATTTTTCCGTCGTATTGATCGAATAGCATTCCATGGATATATTACATGCATTTTATCAAAATAAATACAAAGTTTTATTGAGTTTTCATCGGTCAAATTAATCTGTAACCAACACTAAAGAAAGCTATCTCTGAATGATAAGAATCAACGGCATACTTTTAGCAATTTTTTGTGATAAGCATCTTCTATTTCAGCGTTCAATTTCGCTGAATAACGGTTCCATTGATCAGTTTTTGTATCGTGCACTGACCAGATAATGTCACGTGACACAGCTTCTCTTCGTGCTTGTTTTCAAATGTCCGCAACTAGCTCGAAATAATATTTTCCAGCTAGATCTCGGCTCTCTTTTGGCCTGTCAGTTCAATTGCACCATTAACAATATCAACATTGGATAAGACTTTTAGATCTATACAATATCTATAATACTTGTTAATTGTTGATTGAGACCATTCTTTTAATTCTTCATGTTTATCAGTCAATATTGACTTTTGTATATTCTGTTTATTCATTTCTTCAATGGCATATCGACATTTCTCGATGTTGACTTCGTTAGACGTAGTCAGTGTAATTTTGATCACTGAAAATAAATGTTTAAAGAATCGAAACATGAGATTTGGTCAAGTTACTTTGTTGAGCAATGTCCATATTTTCTGATAGAAGCGCAGTCTGTTTCGGCAAAATATTAGAAAGTTGAACAACTTTTGTTTTAATTAAATTTAGATGTTTGCAAAATTCATCATGAACATTTTGTTGCTCTGGTAAAACAACGAATGATACGATTAATTGTGTCCGACGTCTGCTTAATTGTTCTTCCGCTTCATTAAGCATTGTTTCAGCAGTTATTCTGGCTGAAATGCCATACTTACCACAGCCAATGGTAGTTAAGGCTAAAAACGAATTATAAATGCTCGATATTCAAGGTAAAAGCATTTCGCTCACCAATACTCTTGAAATTATTACTAACAGTAAAATTAATTGCTTCATGTACGAACATAGCTATCGATTGTCTCAGCCGATGGGGATCTGACTGGGGTAGCCAAGGTATAAACAATATTACAGGCTAATGAACCTGCTGATGTTGAGCCTAATCTTATTCTATCTTGTTGATATAATTCTTTAAATTCGTCTAGCGATTCTACCCCAGCAGACTTAAGGACCGCAGTTCGTAAGCTTTGAGATGTCGAACAAACCACAATGACATCTTCCTAAAATTAAAACAGATCAAACCCACACTCATCATCTCTGACATTCATTCAGTTCGTTAAGCATCAGCTACTGGGCAAGAGTATTGCTTTATTTTAACTATCGTATACCGGACTTGTGCTCAAACATGTCACTCGTGTTGAGGACCTCAACTGTCAAACTGAAAAATTCTTTGGAAAATAACTACTCTTTCCAAGTTCTCCAATCTAGGCTACTTATAGATTTAAATATGGACTAACTATTACTTTCCAGATTAATCCTACGTGCACATTTTTGAAATTTTTTTTCTTCGCTGAGAAAATCGACTTTTACTGAGCACACCTCTTAAACAGCCAAGTCCTTTTCCAGTATCTTTTGCGAATTTTGCTCTGAATGTGTTGAAAACAGGCGTAA